ACACACATGCACACACATATATACACACATATACACACATGCACACACATGTACACACGCATATATACACATGTGTGCATACACACAGATATACACACATGCACACACATACACACATACACCCATGTGCACACACATACACATGCACACATGCATATACATGCACACACACATACATACACATATACACACATGCACACATACATATATACACACATGCACACATACATACATATACATGCATCCATACATATATACATACACACACACACAGAATTAAGAATGAGAATTTATTGCTTTTGCAGGGGATGAGGGTTCAGTTTCCAGCATGCAGGCTGAATTGCTCACAACTGCCTAGAACTCCACAGAGCTGCACTTACCCATACACGCAATTTTTTTTAAAAGTGCTTTATCCCACTTTAAAAATGACTTCCATCTCAAGGTTAGAGGCTCATACCTCTAATCCCAGGAACCAGGAGGCTGACAGTGTAGGGTGGCTGAGAATTTGAAGCCAGTCTGGTCTACACAATGAATTCCAATCTATCTCAAATACCACCACCAACAATAATTACTCTCACAAAGAACTTTCACCCAGTATTAGTATTATAATCCATTCCCAAAGTCACTACTAGTGTATTTTTAAAAGATTTTGTTTTTATTTTATGTTTATGAGTGATTTGCCTGCAAGTCTACAAGTGCATGCACTGCCTGTGGAGGCCATAAAGGGCACCAGATGACCCGGAACTGAAGCTAGGGTTGGTTGTGAGCCACTTACTGGGAGCTGGGAACCGATGCTGGCTCCTCTGTAAGAGCAGCCAGTGCTCTTAGTCACTGAGCAATCTCTCCAACCCAGCTCTGGCTATCCTGTAACTCACTCTGTAGACCAGGCTAGGACTTTGAACTCAGAGATCTGCCTGACTCTGCCTCCCAAGTGCTGGGATTAAAGGTCCGAACTACCACCACCTGTCTTTCTAATGAGTTTTTAAACTCTGGGCTTTGTAGCAGCTGAGGCAAGTAATAATATTCACAACAGTATGAAACCATATTCTCACATAGAACCCCATCTGGTCTTTACGACATAGGGAGCAGGCATTTCCATCCTTTCAAAGTGTTCAGATATGGGTATTTTTACATATTGGTATCGACAAAGGAAATACTCAACAAATGACCCACACTTCTTTTCCCAGCTTTATTGGGGACATTTCTTGGTGAATGGTTGTGCAAATCACATTAGTAATTAACACCCCACAACCCATAGCCACCACAGCAGAGGAAAGTAGACTCTGATCACTTCAGATAACATGGTTTTCACTCTCAAGTGTCCCGCTAACCCTCCAGAGACAGGTTCTTGTTACCTCCTCTATAAAAATAGCACAGACAACTTAAGTAATGTACCCCAGCCAACACAGCAAGGTAGAGAGAGAGAGAAAGTGGTCCTACTGTGTTGCCTTCAGAACTTTATCAAATTCAAGTTGTAGTTGAATGGAGTTTAAGGCTTCCTCCGTAGAAATCATGTGGTGGTCTCAACCATAGATTCTAAATTCTCAACTAAATTCTAAAGCAACTTTTAAGTGAAAAGGCATGGTTTCACAATTTGAGTTTCAGTTTAATAGTTATTGTTTGGTTTTGTTGCAAAGTAGGAGGGATTCAGGGAAATTAGAGACCTATATAGCCCAGGAATCAGTGGCTCACAGTGGTGTGTCCACGCTCTTCATGAGTGCCTGTCTGTGCCTTGTAAACCCCAACAGCTCCTCTGGAGCAGGGCTACATCATCACCGGCTACACGAAGAGCAGCCGACATCTTTTCTAGATAACAGACCCTAGTAAATACGGTTACAGTCTAACCACCTACCTCGAAACATTGTTGAC